GACACCTTATTAAGTATCTTATAGATTGTTTCAATATTACTGTTTAATTTAAAAATATCTAGTATTTTTTCAATACAGAATATTACAACGTATGTAATGTATGAAGGTAATACAAAGAAGGATTTATTAAAAAACTTCTTTTCTTTAATTGATTCTATTGATTTTTTAAAAAGATCTTCATAATTTTTAATTGTCATAAATTAAGGGATTAAAATTTTATAATTAATTAATTAACTCAAATAATTTAATAAAATTGTTTGAGTTAATTAATAGGAATTTATTTTTATAGGATTTTAAAATTATTATTATTTTAATTTTTGTAATAAGAGTTTTATTAATTAAATTTTTAATTTAAATAAATAGTAGATTTAGGGTTTTTCTTACTTGAGTTTTAAGAAAAATAAAGATAAATATATCTTTATTTAATTTTTAAAGTAGTTATATATATTTTATATGAATAATTAATTAATTAGTTTTAATCCTAATAAATTATTTTTTATTAATGTTTGATAGATAAAATTTTTATAAATATTTTTAACAATGAAAATTAGTTAGAATGTTAATTTAAATAAAATTGTAGTTTAAATTTTTGTTAGAAAAAACAGTATGATTTTAAATCTAAATTAATTTTTTTAATCAAATTTTGAACAAGTAAATATCCTTGTTTTTCAATTATAAAATTTTAATAGTTTTTATAAATTATTATAACAAAATTTTAAAAACATGACAAAGAAAAATATTAACAAGAGAAAGTATAAACGAATGAAACTATTAGTTTTATATTAGAATTTAAGAACATTGTGTAATCTTAGAATTATTAGTATATTTGTTTAATTAAAACAAACAAACATATTAGTTATGACCATTACAATGATAATATATTAAAACAACAAAGTACAACTTGTTAATTAAAATCAATTAAATATTTTTTATTAAGATATAAAATTATAGTTTATTTTTTATTTATAAATAACCACAAATAAGAGAATTTTTTAAATTAAAAAAGACTTAAACACTTCATTAAAATATATTAATGTATGGTACATAGTAATAAATTAGAAATTTAATTGTTAAAATTAACAATTTTTAAACGAAATAAATATATCACAATTGTATTTTATTAATTTATATTATTAACGAATTGGATCAATTGCAAAAATTGAATTAAAAACCTAAAAGAATGTTTTTAACTCATGATTCATCAGTCTAGGAATATAATAGAATTATTAGTTAATGAGCCTGTAGAAGACCTGATAGATTCTTACATATGAAAGGTATACTTAAAAGGTATGTAAAGTGTAGAAAATAATTCAAGACGTGGAAACGAAACCATGCACTAAAAATGGTGTTGGTGTGGTATTCAGGTGTTGTAATAGAAGTTGTAATGATTTCTCTAGGTATGTTTCAATATATAATGAGTCACAACTATCAGGCTTTACTATATCTCTGAGAAGTATATTATTAGTAGCTTGTAAATGGTTTAATAACCATACTCATGTGCAGATAGATACTGGGATGAATATTAGGAAAAAATCAATTATTAAAACTATTGGTTTACTTCGTAATCAATATCTTAAATATGAGACTAAAAAAGTAATTTACCTTAGTGAGATGGTATGATTGTCCAAATATACAAATATTTATTTAAACATAAACAGAAATACCACAAAGGTAAACAACCAATAAGAGAGAGTGGGATATTTGAACTAGCTAATTGTTTATTTACTCCGGTAAAAAATCTCATTACAAGTTATTTCTAACAGGACTGTTAATACTCTACTATCAATAATAGAACAAGTTTGTACCTCAGAAACAATAATCCATAATGATTAGTGGAGAGCATATTTATGTGTAAGTAGCAGGTTAAGATTTACGCATTTCACTTTTAATCACAGTGAAGAGTTTGTAAATTACACTAACGATGTTCATATTCAGAACAATGAAAATATGTGGAATAACTGCAAACATGCCATTAAAATACACAAAGGAATTTATGATTCAGGTTAAAATTAATTTTTTCATAATAACTTGAATCAATAATTTTGAGTTATACAAGACATTAGATGTGTTGGACTGTTCTTCATCCAGATGTTTTAGAGTCTCTTCTGACTCGTTAAAACTCATATTTAAATTATTATCTCTACTCATTTTATTGATTAATTGTAGGGATAAAATTATTTTCTAAAAATCCATTAGAGTTTCTAATTCGGATTTTGCCTTTAGGTAACAAGTTGAATTATTAAAACTTTTTAGATTTGATTAAATTAGTTTTTTTATTTTTTAATAAATTTTTGCACTTGATCTAATAAATTTATGAGTAACAAAAAATTTATATTAAAATAACAAATATTTTTACCTTATTATGAATACAAATTTATTCAACTAGATAATAATCTCTTTAATCTGAATAATAAAGAGAAAACAAATGAACAACTTAATAGTAAAACAATGAATAAAGACTT